GCCAATCGGATTAGACCTTGTGATTAAGAGGCGAGAGCTGACAAACACAGCAGAAAGAGGTGATGAGGCAGGTTGCAGCTCGCCAACCTCTGCCTGGCGAGCGGGCACAGGCGCATGCCTGGTGGCTTCAGAGGGCGCTCTGGTTTGGTGGTGCGAACGTGTTGGTAGGCAGTTGTGGGATGGAGTTGGTTGTACATCTCGTCCCAGGCTCTTACTCCCTCATTTTCTTGTGGAAACCCTGGCTGTTGACACGTGTTAGGGCAACAGTTCTTGTACTTCCTGAAGCGAGCAGGCACGGAGGGCTCCCAGGCGGACAGTGCTCCAGCCAGGGGTGGAGTCCCTTCCACGGTGGCAGCCTGCACTGTGTGTGGCTTCATCCCCGGCGTTATGCAGACGGCCATCTGAAGGAAACGGAGCTAATACAGTCACACTGTCCAAAGCAGAGTCACGGGCGGACGTGTGTGTCTGCAGTGCCCTGGGGTCTCGGGGAGCCATCAGGGAGGTGTGACCCTCCTGAAGAACAGCAGCTCAAGTTGTTCCCATTAGCTGGCTGGACGGGGAGAGGAGCTGCCTGCAACAGGAGTGTGTCTACATAGTCTGTCTTACCTGTGACGTCATCCTTGACCATCCCCTCGGTAGCCAAAGGCAGGTGCCGTTTTGGGGTGGACTGGCCGTCTGGGTCACCGTAACAGCGGATTGCCATGTAAAGCCTCTGCTAACTGGCTTCCTGCTTCCTGGCTGGACTCTTTTCCGTGTTCTGGTGAAGCAGAGGACAGGCAGGCTTGAGGCTGTCAGCCCAGGGGATGCCCCAGCCCTGACCTGCAGTGTCCTGCGCTACAACCTGGACTCTTGGCTGTTATTTTAAGATTTATTTATTTTTATTACAATGTCAGATATATATAGAGAGGAGGAGAGTCAGCCATGCTTTCACGCTCCTCCTAGAGTGTGAGAAGTTCCTTCTCTCGGAGGGCCAGCCCCGCTCCCTTAGGTTCCCTTCTGCTCACTGGGGAAGCCTTGTCTCAGTTCTGGTCCCTGAGCGTCCCTGGCTCGTCTGAGGTTTCCAGGTCCCATCCTCTGGAGTCAAGGTTTGTGGCAGTGGCCGGGGGCAGCAGAGAACCCTGCCCTCTGGAGGGCAGCTCCTGAGGTCCCAGGACCAGCACCTGGTCATCCATCTGACGATGGTCAGCGCTGTTCCACCCATGTCCCAAACTGGAGGCTCGATGGGTCAGTGCAGTGGGCTTCCTGGTGGGGGAACAAAATGCAACTGACAGGAGGCCAGAGCAAGCAAAGGGACACCTGAGGTTCTCTGAGGACTTTTACTTACACATGAGGACCTGATGGGACTTGAGACTCCCAGAGCCGAGTCCTGATCCTGCATCTGCCCTGGTTTTATCTATTTTTGTGACTGTTATGTATTTTTTTTCCAATTTTTTCCTTTTTGACAATCTTTACATAGTTAATTATGGCACAAAGTTTCAAAAGCTATAACAAAGTGGGTAAGACCATTATTTCCACATTGTGTTTTTTCCTGTGTCTGGGGTAAAAGAGTAGATAAAGGGAGAAGCCCCACGCAGTCTCCCACCCATCCCAGGTCCCCGACGTGGGGCATGCTCCGAGGGTCCTGCTCTGGTGCTTCTGACAGTTCAGGAGTTAGGAATTCCTGTTCTGATTTTTAGACACCAAGCTGGCAAGGTCGTAGGTACCAGGGAAGCTCAACTTAGGAGTGTGGGTGTAGAAGGCAACTTCAGGAGGTGGCCGATGCGCCACAACCTCGGCTTAAGGAGCGTTTGGTCATGTCTGGCACGCAGCTGTGTTTTGGGCTTCCTGGAGGTGGCAGGTTTCCAAGTGTCAGGGTCTCCTGCCGCTGGATGGGACCCTCACTGCTGGGATGGCATGTCCTTGATCCTTTGGAGTTGCTGGGACTCCCCCAGGCCCACGTTGCATGCTCACAGACTGACAGTGTGATCTTAGCACGTGTCGCTTCCTTCCCTGTCTCCCTCCTCCCGCTCAGAGCAGGCTGGGTGGACACACTACACACTGCCGGGCCTCATCAGTGCGGACAAGGAGTTACGTGAGTACCTTTACCGCCGGTGTCCTGGTGCATGTTTTTCCTCTAGAGTTCCATTTTAGATCTTCACTAAGGGGTCGACTTGACATAGGAATGTGCAGATCTGGACAACTTACAATTATTCTCAGCTTCTTAAAGGCACCTGAAGTGAGGGGATTTTATTTTTGGTGCTCAAGTTTTTGAAATGTGTAAAGGATTACCAAGCGATGCCTGTGGCTACTGCTACAGAGCCATTTGCCAATGAATGGCCGATTCTAGGTGATCAGGTGACCTCCAAAGGAGAACAGCAATTTCTGTAGAGAATCTCCTGTATTTGCATTAAGAATATGGTTAGATCTTCCCAACATAAACATTGAGGGGCGTGTGACCATCCCTATGAATAATTATGACTTTTAGCTTAACCTTTGTTTTCTCATTTGTTAGGAAGGGGAGGTGAGCTGCCCTCCTCTGGTCCGTTTGTCAGATGCCCGCAGTGGCAGGGGCGGGGCCAGGTCTGCATCCAGGTCTCCCACGTGTGGGGGATGGGTTCTCAGTTATTGCAACCATCCCCATTAGCTCCCAGGGCAGCTTTGGGCAGTAAGCTGAACCAAGCAGACAAGACTAGATATCGAACCACTTTAAGGTTTATTTTTTATTGCAAAATTAATTTACACAGGAGAGACACAGAGAAAGATTTTCCATCTGCTCATTCCCCAAGTGGCTGCAACAGCTGGAGCTGAGCTGAGCTGAGCAGAAGCCAGCAGCCAGGAACCTCTTCCGGGTCTCCCATGCAGGTGCAGGGTCCCAAGGCTTTGGGCTGTCCTCAACTACTTTTCCAGGCCGCAAGTGGGGAGCCAGATGGGAAGTGGAGCAGCTACAACACAAACTGGGACCCATAGGGGATCCTGGCACTTGCAAGGGGAGGATTAGTCAATGGAGCCACCCACAGGACTGGCCCCTAAAACATCTTTGGAACTATAATGATAGTCCTGGAAGCCAAAAAAACTTATCCTATTTTTAAAAAATGGTTGTTTTTTTAGTTCAGTCTGCCTGATGCCACATATCTCTTGCACCTCATCCTTTTATATTCTTTCCAGTATAATGTGGAAAATTTGCTTGAAACTTTAACCCTAAGTTACTGCTATTAACTCTCATTTAGATGATCTTTGTTCTCTCGCCTTCTGCACATGTTCTAGAATAGTGTTCCAGTGTACCACTTGTATGTTACAAGGCCGAGGCACAGATGTTCGCCAGGAAGCCGCAGGCCCTGTCCCCACGTTGGAGTGCCTAGGTTCCTGAGCCTGGCTTCCTGCTTCAGGACACCAGTGGTGGGTGAGGCTTGCTGAATCCCAAGGCAGTCATGGGATTCCAGCACTGCCTTGGGAGGCTTCCCCTGGGGCCAGGCCGGCTGTTACAGGCGTTAGCCAGCAGGTGGCAGCACTGCCCGTCTGCCACTTGGGTACAGGGTACGTAGGTCAGTGCTTGGACGGGTCATCCAAGACCTGTCCCAAACAGCACAGTGTAGGTCAGCTAAGGATGCAGACGGACAGGCTGCCCCAGCGGTGCACACACCAGGCAGGCACTGCTGTGTCACACCGTCAGGCTGGCTCCCTCGTGAGTCTCCAACCCATCTTTCACTGTTCCTCTGACCCGGACAGACTGCATTTAATGGAAACAGACTCAAATATGTAACGTAAGCATGTTTATTATAACATTTTATATAACACTGCCATATAATAGCATATGTACCTATATGTATAAATATGGTGTTTATTACAATATTTTTAGTTTCAGGTTTTCAGAATACCTGCCCAGGAAGTGCCTCCTTGCCCCTCCCTCACACCCCTATTACTAATCCCTTGGAGCCATGCCCCACACTTATCACTGAAGCCCATATGTCACGTTAGGATTCAGCTGTGTCGTACAGTCTTCTATTTTGGTCCTGTGCCCACCATTCCACAACCATGGTCTCCCTCCCTCCACGGCCTCGTGTCCTGCCCACTCCTCTCCCCCTGGTCTGTCTCCAGAGTTCTGGCACACAGCCGACCCATTCACCTCACCATCTTTCACCCTAATGGCTTTGAGCAATTAATTCAGCTGCTACAACCATTAGTGTGCAATGTGTAGGTGGACAGTTTTCACTCATTTGTGTAAATCTGTGCAGACATCTATCACTGGTAAGCTTGTAGTTGGCTTTGAGTCCAAGTGGTTGTTTCTGCATGTCCACTAGCAATGAACAAGCTCCTCTCGGCTATCTGGTGCGGCCACCGACTTGGATTTTCATCCAAGCGCGCAGCAGTATCTCCTGTGTGCTCACAGCTCTTTGCTGTCCGTCATTGCGCATCTTTATATGTGATTTTCTGTGCAGCTTCTGAGGCCACTCAGATATTTTGGCTCATATTGTAAGTTCCCCTCCTAAGCGTTTTTGCAAGTTTTGGATATAGGTCCTTTATCAGACAAATGCTTTGCAAAATATTTCCCCTGCTTGTGGCTCGTCTTTACCTTTTCTAGGCAGGCAGAGCTTGCACCTGCTGGTTCCTTGCTGTTGGTTCCTTCCATGCGTGCAACAGCACAGTCCAGGGCCAAAGCTGGGTGCCGTTAACCCCATCTCCTAGGGAAACAGCCATCACCCAGGGACTGGATCACCCCTGCTGCCTTCCAGGTGACTAAGCAAACTGGAACCTGGAAACGGGGAACCATGATGGGTGTCTTACGTGCTAAACAGCACCCTGCACTCACATCACTATCAGGCACGGGCTTTCTTACTGCTCGGAGGCAGAGTGACACCTGAGGGGGAGGCAGAGCAATCTCTTAACTGGCTCACTGCCCAATGCCTGCAGCAGCCAGGGGCGGGCCAGGGGTGAGCCAGGGCACAGCCAGGAGCCCCCTGTCGGCCTCCCATGTGGGGAAAACAGGAATCCTAAACAATCCGGCTGTACCCTCCACTTTGCTGCAGCACCAAATGGACTATTCTAATCTTTTGATTGTTGCTTTTAATAAGTGCTCTACAGAATCAAACTGCAATTTTGTACCTATAAAACTGAAGCACTGATCTTAAGTATACCTTTCTATACCTGTGAATTCTTTTCAATTATTTAAGGTTTTTATGCTTTTCCTCTTTATAGACCTATTGTTGGGTTTAGGCCTAATGCCTTGTGGAGAGGGTTTTTCACTGCTTGTATTTTAAACTCCAAGTGCTTGTTGCTGTTTGTCTCCATATTAATTGTGTATCTTGCAGCCTTGTGAGGATTATTTAAAATCCCAAGTGTTGGCATATTTGGAGACCTACAGACAGCACCTGTGCCCAAGGGGACTCCTTGTTCTGCTCGTGCCGAGGGAGTCGGGAAGGGGCACTGTCTGGTTACTCAGCGAGAACGCTCCCAGCTTCTCCGAAGGAGCTGGCACGTGCAGGCAGGCACTTTATCCCACTGAGGCAACCCCACTGTTCCTGATTCTTTCTAGCATGCTTAAGTGTTGGATTCTGTAACATGCTTTCTTTTAAAACAAAACCTCCTAAGCTTCTTCTTAGATTGCCAATGTACAGAGTAATGTGAATTAACTGATTTTTATAGTTGCACATTTTCTAGATAAATCTTAACACATTAAGAACTATTGCACTGATGTAAAGAAAACATCTTGTGAGTTTCTGATGTGTACTAGCTAATGTTCCCGCCACCCCCTCCCTTTCTAAACCCAACCACTACGAGTAAGAAGTCACCAGTGAGTGGGCACAGTCCAGTCAGATGACCTGGGTCCTTCGAGCGTGGGCTATCTTCAGTTGTCATTTTCATATTCAAATTGGTTACTGCGAAGGAGAAAAAGTACCTGCAAATTAGGAAGTAATTTTTTATATGCTTGAAAACCTTCAATTATTGAAAAGCACAAAGAAATTTTACATCACTGCCTACAAAAATACCTACAGCAGTCGGCGTTTTACGTCAACAGCACGCCTTAAGCGTCAGGCTGGCCACAGTGTTTGCGTGTACTTGAAGAGCGGCCCACAAATGAGGGCACCCTGAGGGAATATCTGAGGTAGTTGCTAGACTTGCCAAGTAGCGATTGTTTTCCTTCTGTTAAACTAACGACTAGCCCGCTGTCTATTCGCCATCTGTAACTGCGCATGTCCCGGGCTCTCAGTGTACAGTCTTCCTGAAACGAAGCTGATTTCTATCTGGTGGACCCCCGCCAGATGACCGACACCGAAGCCCTGCGTGCTCTCCCCACCTTCCACTTCCTTGCAGAATGAGCTGGGCAAGGACCTGGTTCGGCAGGTCCACAATCTCCCTTAACGTTCTTACTAGGATTTCACAATCGGATTCTTTCCCTTAAGCGTTCTCGTGAAGTGTCCTTAAGCTTTCGTTCTGAGGACTCGATGCCCGAAGGTGAACATCACCTCTTGTAATTACAGCAGGTAGGAGTCTAACGCTAGGAGAACGTCCTCCCGTGCAAACTTACAGCATATTTACTAGATCTTTAAAGGGATTAAGCCAACTCAAATTATATGCTTTAACATCTGTTTGAACATATTCCTTACTAACATACCTTAGTAAGCGAGATGGCAAGCCAAATCCACTGACAACTTTGACAGCATTTTCCTTTGTTTCCAAGGTGTCCTTGAGTGGCCGTTTTGGACCAAGCTGGTGGTGGTGGCCATTGGCTTCACCGGGGGCCTCGTCTTCATGTACGTGCAGTGCAAGGTCTACGCGCAGCTGTGGCGACGGCTCAAGGCCTACAACCGTGTCATCTTCGTGCAGAACTGCCCAGACACTGCCAAAAAGCTGGACAAGAACTTGCCGTGCAACCTAACTACGGACCTCAAGGATGCCGTGGTGGTGCCTGTGTCCCAGACGGGGCCAAGTTCACTGCCGTCTGCGGAGGGCAGCCCGCCGGAAGTCATACCAGTTTGAGAGGATGACTGGTTGGGAATTTTTACTGAGGAACATCTTTCTAGCCCTCGGCCACTACAAGTGACAGAAAGGGGTCCTGAATGTACTCACTCCATTTCTCTCCTGTATTCTGGACACATTTTTCCTTTGTTGCTCAAAAAGGAACGGAGAAAAACCGCAACGGACCAGGATCCCAGGAAGCAGAGCCGAAGGTACGATTTCTAAGACTATTAAAGAATGCTTGGAGGCGACAGCGAGAGATGATCGGTGGACAGAGACACCTCCCCGGAACAGGAGACACCTTCGCGACAGGCTGGAATTGCTAAGGTTTTAGACAGGACAGTTAATCTGGAAACAAGTTCACTCTAAGCCGGAAATCATCCATGTCACCACCCCCACCCCCCGGAGGCAAAGCTGGGGGATGTGTGTTTTGACAGCTAACAGGTCTTTCTGGCTATAGCAGAGTCTGGTAATTTCTGATAAATGCATGTTTTTAAAATAGATGCAATATGCGTTTAATATTAACACTTGGAATTATGTTTAAATTATGATTTTTCAGGTAAATTTGGTTTAACGAAATACCCATAGAAGCTGAAACCTACCAGGCAGTTTTTATTAAGTGGTCCCTCTAACAGAGTGCTATCCGACAACTGTAACATCAGCCACGACTGTTAATTGTAGTTGCCCCCATTTTAAAATTTTGAGCCCCATGTCTTCAAATTGTATTATGGCAGATTAATACAAATTACATCAGATAACACTGCCCTAAACTTAGATCCTGCGCTTTAGCCCAACAGCTAAATATTTCAAAATAGCAGGATTAATTTTTGTTGAAACTTTTACAAAATGTTTACAGAGCACTAAGTCCTGTTTGAAGAGTTAGATGCAGTTATTTCTCTACTAAAGGGTAAAGCAATTCAATAAGAAAACAAACAGTCTATATAGCAAAGTTGAGAAGTTCACTTGTTTGCTACCAAGCAGCACTTGGGACCTGGAAATGCTAACAAAGAATGCAGCTATCTCAAATCCATGTGAAGGTCAAGTGGACAGAAGACCCTAAGCTAAGCTGAAAAGCCAAGTTCTCCCTCTAGTCCACACATTCTGTAGATAACAAATGCACTGGTTTGGTTTTGCTGGTTCCCGTGTTCTTTGCATATTCATGTAGAGCTGCAGTGTGACGAGTGTAGTGACAGCCCAGGCGGCTGTCTTCTGCTTCCCAAGGGGATTTATTTTTGGTAGCTGTTGTATTTATTCTGGACAGGACAGGCTGGCCGTGAGGACCACGCATGCGTGCACTGTGACTAGCAGTGTGCGTCCTGTTCACGTTACCATGCACAAAGGAGAATGAAACCTTTGAGGAAGATGGTACGCACGGAGATTACCAGCTGACAGAGTCCAACAGTCCCAATTTCTAGGAATAAAAGGTAACTGTCAAATTTGTATGTGTGTGGCATGTGTATATTCATGTATATATGCAAAACAAATGTTAAGATATTCAGCCTGCGATTAAAACTTGCAGAGGCATGGAATAAGAGAACACACTGGGATAAGGAAACAGACCAAAAATTCTACCCCTCATGTGGCTTTTAAAATGTAGGAGAAAACCTTTTATAATGCTCTCAAGATTTGGAATAAGTTAATTTTGAATAACAAAGCTTTGGATAATGTAATCAGAGTATCTCACCCAAGGGATTTACCTTGACTCATTTTGCTGGCTCTTCCTACACTCTTCACGGACCCATTTTTCCTGTGGTTTAAGAAAGGCAACAACACAGATTGTAACTTCCTGGGGGAAAGTCTAGCCCCAACCCTGTTCTGGGAGGGAAGGCAGGGTCCATGCCTAGTCCTTCCCCGCCAATGTCAAGGGCCACACCAGAATGCTGTCTGAAGCGACAAGCACACACTCTGCTGCCGTGCTGACACGGCATTCTAAGAGCACGCGCCTTTAAACCCAACAGCCCCTCCTGCAAACGGCCGAGTTCCTGCGTGCATCCAACAGCGGGCCAGTGGTGCAGCTGCTCTTTAAAGAGCAGAACTGTCCTCGGAGCAGTGCTTTTCATGGAACAAAGCCCTGCAGAATGACAATTCTGAGGCTTTTTTTTTTTTTTTACCATCACTGACCTGAATCTATGGGACTGTCAGTAGTATAAACCACAGGTATTCCTGCTTTTAAGAACGTCACTTTTGTATAACCTTCAAGAGAAAATTATTAGGTTTCACTTAAAAAAGTGTTCCATAAGTTTAAGCACAAAGTGCAAAGAGACAACCCCGACCACCTCAGCTGTAATGCAGATACATGAAGGACCCCCAATGTCGAGCACCAACTCTGAGCTGCCGCCACGTGGCCACAGCCCCGGGACCTGGCCTCATGTCCTTACCACCTATTCTTTGGCTGGGCAACCAGTTCATTGGTCCAATGACGTCATTAATCAGTCATGGTGAAATGGGATAGGTAAACCTGTGCATTTTCCTTTGCCATGAGTGTCCAGCAATCTACACAACCAGTTCCTGAAGTTGGTAACAATTTGGTAAGGCTTATACTTCAAGAATGCAAACCCCTTTCTTTCCCTAAGTCAGCCCAATGGTGCTATTTTACATAACCAGTTGGCAAGAAGTACTGTTATTCTGGGCTGCAGCCTTTCCTGTGCAAGTGATGAAAGCCCATTGTGAAAACGATAGAGCACTGGGAGAAGGAAGTTAACTGTGCACAAACTGACTGGACATTTGTACTTTTGGTTTTTACCTAGTTATCTTTAACAACCTACTGTTTGTGACTAACGTGTGCTAAGAAAGCAAAACCATCTGTGGAAAACTTTGTATATTAAACCAGTGATCCAAACCTTGCTACTGGTTTCTTTCTTTAGCCTGACACACTGGAATTTGTGCCGACTTCTATTAGCAACATGCCAATAGGCTTGAATTCTTGACTCCAGAGTCCATAATGGCCTGGGTTTTTTAAACAGATCTGAACATTTATAATCACTTCGAGGCACAGACATGCCAATCAGTAAAGGAGCCTGGAGATGGGAGTAATTCTAATTTACCAAGGGCAACCAGTGGAGACCACGTGTTCAGGTGTTCAAACCAGCTCTCAGCCAAGTCAGGGCAATATAAAGGACTCAAAACAACGAGGCTCACTGTTCTAAGCAGTGATCAGTTCACGGATAAGCAAACACGAAAGCCACAAACTACCCACTCCTTTCCTGAAGTCCAGGATGCTGTGCAGCCTTCCCGCAAGACCGCTAGCGGGCTGAGCCCTTGGTGTGTGCCAGCTCAGTACTAACTTAGAGGTTCCAACTACTGATCCTATAGTTACCCAGACTAGCAACAATGTGAAAGTTGATTTACCAGAGGGACAGCCTTTCAACTGAGCTGCAGGACATGAAAAGCAGGCGAAGGGAAGGCCAAGTATAGAAGTCCAGCAGAAAATGCCAAGCAAGACCAGATAAAGCCAGTCGAGAAGCAAGTGCCTGATGGATCCCAGTTACTCGTGGGTGCCACCTCCTGGTGCTGGCTTGTCCCCCAGGCAGACAGACAAGCAGCCAGATGATCTGACAGTGTGGACAGGAGGGTGGGTCCCCGGGGGCCGGGCCACTGAACCCACACGCTCAGTCATGGACAGGACTCACCACGTGATGACTCTCTTCCATCCCTGGAACACGGGTGGGTGACGGTCACAGGCCTCCCACATCCTCCTGCCCTGGGAGGCCACAGGACTTGTCCCAGCTGCCTGAGCCTTGAGAAAGATTTGCCTAAGGGGCCACACAAATGTCATCCGGTAACAGCAAGACCGTGAGGACAGGGGACCTTACAGCCACCTTTAAGAAGGTCCAGGCAGAACATCCTAGGTGAGGATGCTAGTGAGCACGACGAACTGCCACTGTGGAAACAAGAAATCCTCGCCAACCAGGTGACAGGGGCCTGGGGGAATGGGGAACGGGCAGATTCTGACCTCAGAAACTAGGGGAAAAACTGGAGAATTTGAGTTTCTGAGAAGACACTAGACTGTGGGAGCCAGGACACAAGGAGTGTTTGAAGGGACAAAGTGGCCTGTTCCGTCTGCTCACTGAGGATGGTCACAGCACCACAGCCAAGCAATCACGGGATTCCTGTGTAAGCACTGGCTTAGAGGGCGAAGGCTTGCCCTTTGCACAGAACAGGTTTAGATGAAGACAGCACAACAACTTGGCATCCTAGAGAGAACATGTTCTATGGGGAAAACAGCAGGAGCATTGCTCCAGTGACGAGTTACCTTTCTGGCTACTTTGGTCCTGCTGGGGGTGACACGAGTTTATTCAGCACACGCTTCCCTGAGCGGCTTCCAAGCAGGGCCTGGACTCCCAGCAGGGCCTGGACTCCCAGCAGGGCCTGGACTCCCAGCAGGGCCTGGACTCCCAGCAGCATGTTCCCCAGGCTTACTCAGTTTACCTGAGCTGCTTCCAAGCAGTGTCGCCGGTTTTCTTCTTGGTTGGTGGCATGGGCAGCAGTCAGCATAAACGTTCGAGGGCACAGAATCTGCCATTTTCGCAAGTCATCTCACATCTCGCCGGGCTTTAAGCGTCGGCACAGATAGGCATTCTTACCTGCTTTACTGTGGGTTTTGACTCAGTTTGTGTAATTACTTCAAAACTAAGCATTAACCAGAAAAGGAAGTCTTCCAATGACTAAAGAGAGCAACTTTTCATATAACTATAAAGCCACAAAAATCAAATTCATCAGCATGAATTTTGCCACTAAAAATTAAGTAACCAGAAACTTATGGGAATATTTTTTTTTAATTTTACGAAGTACAAAAGTTGCAACATTTAAAATATTGAGTTAATATCAGTTTCCTCTGAAAACGCATACTAAAGTATACTTACATGTGACAAGTTCTCTGAGGAATACAGTTGTGCAATATTCACATATTTTCATATTTAAAACATTCAAATTTACCTCTCAGAATATACTTAATCGTTGGCGATCTAATCTTTCGTTCTGTCTCTGATCGTGTTTCACAGTGAGAAGGCAAAAGGAGACTCCTGCAGGGGACAGGGCTTCTTTCCCCAGCACGCAGCGCGGGGGCCGCAGGCACATCACCGTGCTTGCGCAGAGGGACGTCAGGACACACCACATGCCCGACTCCTCCCCGCTTTTAGTTTAGAGGAGGAATAGTGTGGTATAACCACTGGGAGACTTTTCTACTGTCCTAACCAAGGAAGCACCCACAGGGATCTTTAGAATCTGCAACGACCACGGTCCACCTCCAAGTGTGTGACTGAACAAGCTAAATACACAGGACGGAAAAATGAAGCCTGCTTTGTCCCTCCCCCCGTGAGTCCAGCAGCTGCTGCTGCGGGTCACTTCCATTCAGCAACTCAATGTAAATGAAAAGCCACCTTCGAGGTTAAGAAACAGATCCTTTTTAAAACCACAAATGGCGAGCTCCTAAGAGAATCAAACAGAAAATTCCTCAAGCCAATTATTCACATGAGCAGTGAGTGTAACCTGCAGCTTTGTTTATTTTCAGCTCCAGGGAAGGGCTAGGCCACTGCCGTCATTTCCTCGTCCGTGTCGCTGGATTCCTCTTTCAGCTCCAGCGCGCCTAAACCTCCGTCTAACTTCTCATCTACCTTCACAGTCGGCTGCTTCTTGCACTTCTTGGGGATGGCATCACTGGCACAAATTTTTCTCATCTTAATGTTTGGCAATTTCTTCAGGTCAAAGTCCCATTCCCTGGGCAGAGGAGAGCAGAGTGGTGGGGGCTCAGAGGGCAAAGGCAGTCACCGTGCCAGCAGAGGGAGACAGCTTGTAAGCCTAAAGGTTTCACACACACAAGTGAGCCGGGAAACGCAGCCACTGTGCCACATTTACTGACAGCAGGATCTGCACGAATGTGACCCACAGCAGCAGTTCCAAAACTGACACCGAAAAGTGTTAGTAGGTGTCTCTACTCCTTTCTTTTAACCCTGCCAGCCCGCAGCCGCGCTCTGCCAGGCTACGTGTGGCAAGGTCTCCAGAAGGTGGGCAGACCCCAGAAACGAGCCCGTCACAGCGGCACAGAGCTGCAGTGGCCAAGCAGCCATTTCTCACAATAACATTTTTTCACAACCTCAGCATTTTCTGTGACAATTCCCTGTTCAAATGGAGACAGCCAGGAACTGAACCCCAACAGCAAAGGTAACAGAGCAGGCCTGCATCTCATTCCCACTGTCGCTTGGAGAAAGCCGGCTGTGCAGTGTGTTTTACAACTAAGATGCATATTTCATATTTGAGTAATTAATGCTATTTAGACAAAATTATTTATGGTATAAAAAGCTGTCTAAATTATAAGACCCATGTATGCATGAACTTACATGAGAACTGCTTCTTAAATATGACGGATGGGGGCTGGCATAGTGGCACAGTAGGTTAACCTGCAGCCTGTGGCTCTTGTAGCCTATACGGGCATTGGTTCATGTCCCAGTGGTTCCACATCCAATCCAGCTTTCTGCTGATGGCCTGAGAAGGCAGTAGAGGACGCCCTGGCACCCACGTGGGAACTCCCGGCTCCTGATTAGCCAAGCTCATCAGGCCCTTCTGGCCTTTCAGGGAGGAAATCAGTGGATGGAAGATTTGTGTTTCCTTTGTACAATCTATCTTTCAATTTAAAAAAATTTAATTGAGATGAATTTTATTAGCTACTTAATTTTCTAGGAATTCATAATCAAGTTAACCATTAAACAAGTTCAGGAGAATCTGTCAGAAAGCAGAGACCTAAGGGCTGCTCGTTCCTCAAGTGGCCAGAGAACCGGGTGACCTGCCAGGTCTCCCATGAGGGGGCAGGGGCCCAGGGACTTGGGTCATCGGCTGCTGCATTCCCCAGGCCATTAGCAGGGAGCAGCATACAGGTTGCTGGCACTGTAGGTGGAGGTTTAACCTACAACACCATGGTGCCAGCCAGCCCCAGCTTAATACTAAACATTACTACTGATTTCAAAATAATTGTGATTAAGACAAAATTTCAGACCAATCATTTTGGTTAAGACCAAAATCACTACTAAACGTCTTTAAAGTCAGAAAACCAAGTTGAAATCCTCCTCAGCGGACTGCCCGGTTACAAGGGAGACAGAAGCAGTGCATGAGCGCGGCTGACTCCTGACCCTCCCACGAGGTGCTGCGGCTCACCACCAGGGCAGGACACGGTCCGAGTCATCCAGTCTGCTCCGTGTTAGCTTCTTACAGACTACGCATCAGAAAAGAATGGACTAAGTTCTTTAAAGTATTAAACTGCTTGGGAAAATGAGAGATACACTGTCAGGGTTTCAGCTTTAGCCTGGCTTGGCTGTGGGCCGGTCTGTCTGGTAGGTGAGCCCACTTACTGGTGCACAGCAGGTCCTCCACTCTCTGCTGGCTACTCCTGGGAACAAGGTCAGGGCGGAGGCATGCCCCCTCTGTACGCCTGCCTGCAATGCCAGCCTCTAGGCCTGGTGGCCATGCAGATGGGGACGGGGAGCCACGGGCCTGCGTTCGTGAGGGCTCATTCGCCTCGCCCAGGCTGACCGGCTCCTAGGAGAGCAGCCAACGCAGTCAGTGAACTGATGCTGGAACCAGCAGGTCACCTCACTCAGGTTCATGTCATGCTTGATCTGCTCACAGAGAAAAAATGGACCGAGGGAGCTGCAACGCATCTTGTGTTCTTCACTCTGAATTCTGCCTGATTCTAACGGATTGAGTGCACCTTGCAGGCCTGCTGTGTGCTGGCATGTGACACTACACCATGTCATTATCACCGTCACAATGTTCAGAGCACTACTTGTGCTAACAGAGCAAAGGGAAGGAACTCCCGATCGTCTTCCGGTTGCAACATCTCAACTGCAA